TTGGGTTTTCGTCGCTTGGCAACGACGTTGTAAAACAAGCCGCCCCCCCCCCCGGCGTTTGCCATATGCATGACTATGAGAACACCCTCGGTGTTTGCCATCGGGATTGGGAATTCGTCGCTTGGCAACGACTTTGTAAAACAAGCAAATTCACTTCGTGAACTCGGCAACCAGGTTACCGTTTGTTTTTTTTACCTCTGTTTTTTTTTGGCGGTAACCATAATGGTGGTCGAGTAGACCATGTTGTGCGGGGTCGAGAAACCTCACTCCGCGCAAGGGGGATGATCGCACTACGTTGTGTTAAAATGGTCAAGCACCCTCGAGGCAGTTACACAGTGCTAACAACCGGCTCTGGAAGTGAAGCACAAGAAAATAAATAAAGTCATACGCAGCTGTCATCCGTATGCAAGGAAGTAAGTACAAGATACCGAACACCCTAAGCAGGATGCAGCGCACCCTTCATGTGACTCGCCGAATATCTCACGGCGCTTCGCGCTTGGTGATGTGAGAGCCTGGTCCGGTGAGAACCCGGCGTGCTCCNCGTTTTTTTCACCTCTGTTTTTTTTTGGCGGCAGCCATAATGGTGGTCGAGTAGATCATGTTGTACGGGGTGGAGAACCCTCGCTCCGCGCAAGGGGGATGATCGCACCACGTTGTGTTAAAATGGTCAAGCACCCTCGAGGCAGTTACTCAGTGCTTCCAACTGTCTCAAGAAGTGAAGCACCAGAAAATAAATGAAGTCATACGCAGCTGTCATCCGTATGCAAGGAAGTAAGCGCATGATACCGAACACCCTTAGCAGGATGCAGCGCACCCTTCGTGCGACTCGCCGAATATCTCACGGCGCTTCGCGCTTGGTGATGTGAGAGCCTGGTCCGGTGAGAACCCGGCGTGCTCCGTCCCGGCTTTGTAGGGATGCGATGTCAATGGTCTAACGACTACGGCATGCACGACTATGAAGACACCCCGAGACCTACCTACCGAGCAGGTTTACCCGCTGGTCACCGGTTTGCGCGATCAATGCAGGAATTAATGACACCCATGCACTTCGCGACACCTGCGGCGAGGAGGGATACAGAGGGCGGGAACTCCACGGCTTGCCACCACACCAACATTTGCAAACGATCAACCAATCCAATCATTACGCCTGTAGGCCCAAAAGGGTTTACATATTTAGCTTTCAACCCTCCCTCTCGGCCAGCAACGGCGATGTGGTTTTTATTTTTAGGGCGAGACTTGCGGTTGTGGGGTTCAAGATTGGTGCCGTTGTGAGCCAGCCTGTTGCACCCGCAGTGTTGGAGCATCGACGATAGCTTAAGCTTCGCTAGAGCTAGATATGTAGAGGAGCTCTCGACTCTACATACGAGGGTATTGTTTATGTACTCGACATGCGATGTGCCGCAAAGCCGGGGGGTTTGGGTGAGGGGCGTGAGCGCCGAATTCGTCCGCACAGGTTGGAACGTATGTCTTCTCTGTCTGTTTCTCTCTCTCTCGCTCTCTCCCTCGCTCTGTCTCTGTCTCTGTCTCTGTCTCTGTCTCTGTCTGTCTCTCTCTCTCTCTCTCTCTCACTCTCTCTCTCTCTCTCTCTCTCNTCTCTCAATCTCAATCTCTCTGTCTCTTGCTTTCTCTCTCTGGAATCAAATGGCTAGCTAGCCACGCGAAACAAGTAATACGGAATATTTAAAATTTTAAGAAAGATCTCTACGGCGTCGTTTTTCGGAATGTGGCAAGCTTCTCCGGCCGTGGCAACGACTGTTGCAACACATGCACGTTCTCCCTCGACCTCCCTGTGCTTCTTCTCCTTGCTGTCTCCTCTTGTGCCTTCAGGCGTGACGGCGAGCATGCTTCCCGAGGTGATCGTCGTGCATCAGTGATTGAGCGTGCGATTACCTGGGCTGTCTGCTATCAGATACAGCCTACGCAGGCAAGGCACCCAAGAGGACGAGATACATGGACGGAGATAAACAGACAGAACAGACGAGAGAAAATTGCGCTGCCCCGGTAGCGTCTTCAATCTCAAAACCATGCATGGCGTCCCCACTCATCGTTTCTCTGAACTATATAGAATATTCCATACAAAGTACCACACTATTAGTGTGGGGGCACCTTTATGAAGGGAACATTCTCTCTCCGTGTCGTTGTTTCTGCTCTCGCGTGACTCACCCGTGCCCCCTCTCCCGCCGCTTGTGTGGAGCTTTTACGGTGATACAAATGTGGTCGGTGTCATACCTACGCCCATGGCACGACACGTCATTTAGCTGATATACATTGGTGTGCCCAATTGTGAGAGGACGGTACACAGCCCAGGCAACGGGAACTACCAAACACCTTCCCTTAACCCCTTACCTACTTCTGTGCACACTCGATCCATACAGGGCCCGTGTTCGCGCCCATGAACAAAACAATCCGAAACAGCGACAACGCCTTCGTCGTCCGGAGTCGCCAGTCCTTCGAGGCCCTCATTCTCCAAGTATGAGACGCGACTTACCTATGATTGGTGAGAGACACAAGCTTGATTATTGGTACAGAAGGCGTTGTTGCTACTGCTGTTTCGTGTACTAGTTGTGGGAATAAACGTGTCTCAACGTTTGTATATGCACTTCCGTTGTTCTCTTCACGTCGGCTTGTTTGCTGTCCGAATGCGTCGCATTGTGCGCCTTGTCTCTTGTTTGTCGACCTTGTTTTAATCTCTACCTTACAACCAGGCTCAACAAGAGAGGGATCGACTCCGGGAGAATGGCGATCTCCCTAGCGGAGTCGACCCTGTTCCGAAAGCTCGCCAAGCCGGTCACCATCCCGGGAAAGCTCTGGCTCACGCTCAAGCTCTCGCAAACATTCCTGGTTGGCGACGACCGCGACAACGGCAATGAAAGCACCAACAGGGTTACCAGAAGGCCGTTGGTAAAAGAAGCATCTTCGGGGACCGGAGGATGGGGGTGGCTGAGGAAGGGGAGGCGATCTGGAAAGCGAAGGAAAGCGATTTGCCCCCCCGGGAGGAGGGGGGGTGGGAGGACGCCTGGCTGCTTTGTTGCCTTACCGCAGGCCGCTGACCCGTGTTGTGATCCTCGAAGGAGATTTGTTTGTGGAAAGCTAACGCTGGGGCACACGCTGCAGAGCTCCCATAGCTTGCCGGGTCCCAGGCTAGCGATGGCTCGCCCTTGTTTCGTCCTTTGTGATACTCCCACAGTTTCCTTTAGAGTAATGGAGGTGGCGGTGTATCGTATCGCGGTGCAGTGACCGACGAAATCACCACATTACATCGGGACCCTCGCTTTCGGGGAGGGTCCATGAATAGAAATTAGATGTAGGCTACGTTGCTGGGCCAATGCTTTTTTTCCGCGGTACATGGGGAACCGCGTTATTCGGGACCGGGATATATTAGGGCCACATTGTTGTCGGTCTTGTTTGTTGTCCTCTTTTCCTACCTCGCGTTGTGCACTTGGCGGGGTCGTCTGGCTTCTATTGTATGAATTTGCACCAGTTACAGCTTGTTGATTGCCAACGGAAACAGAGTCAGCTTCTGCAACATGATGGGGAAGACCACTCGAGCCAGAGTGCGATTGTGCTCTCTTTGTTTACGCACAAGGACTGCGGGTGCGCGAAGGGCTGTGTTTGTGTCACATTGTGTAGGGCTTACGTAATGCTGCCCGATTTTCTTTGCGTAGGTTCCATCCCGCTGTTGGCTAGAAACCGAAATCAAACCATTAGATTTTTTGTGTTCACGCTTATTTTGAGTATTGTTTTGGAGGCCCCAGTCAGGATCACAGAGAAAGGTAGAATGACACACCAGAAAGAGTTGTTACCACATTTGTTATTGAGTGCTTGCCGTTATTTAGACTTCACGTCTCGACAGGATTCAGCCTTTCCGTTCCCGCTTTACGCGGCTAAGATGGTTTGACAGGGGGGGTTTCCTCCTCCTGGCTCTTGGAAGACAATCGCTCCAAATCACGGTGGCAAGGATGATACCGTAATGAGGAGCCCTTTGGAGTTGTGGAACTTCGCTATTTATGAAGAGTTAAGCAACGGTTCTACACTTACGAACCGTGCTCACAACGGTCCATGTTGCCATTTATTTGGTGAACAAGTGTTGATACGGGCGGCGTATGGAATCCCAGTTCGTGAGGCTGCGCCGACGAAGTTCGAAGTCACGTCAAATGAAGTTTGGAAGTTTGCGAGGTCATGGCCTGGGAACTGGTCTATCACCCTCAAAACTTTTGCATCCAATCACTTGTGCATAATTCATCGCTGGTGGCCAGATGGTTGAGGGTATAGCATTTTGCTGCATTTGCGTTGGGCACCGATTACAACCTCTGGGGCCGGCAAGTATTCCCGCGTCACGGAGAGAGAGTATTTGTAGAGTGAGTTTGGCGTCATTCCAACGGATACGGCGGGCTGGCAGCAGATGCCACAATTTTTTCTTCTGTGTCCAAGGTCGATCCCAGCCTCCCAACCTCCCCCCCTCAACCCTTGGCAGGTTGTGATCGGTGCACAGCCTACACGTGTGGCCAACGTGATGGTCGGGATTCACATGCATGTTCATGATAGGATTCCTGGATTATGGATTTAGCGGAACCCCGAACGGTACCTAATGATGATTTGGCGGAGCCCCCCCTCGCGAAGCATGCGCTGTTGATTGTGTGTTGGTGGCTGGTTCGGTTGCCTCCCTGCGGCGTATGCCAGATCAACAGTAGAGCCGCCTAGGACGTAACGCAGCAGCAGCATGGCAGAAGGAGGATCTGTGCGCAAGGCCAAGCGCACTGCCGAGCACCAGATCAACAAGGACGAGGATCCCGAGGGCGATGGAGTGGGCGAAGAGGTGGAGGCGGGCACCTTTCAGCGAGCGTCTGCCGAAGTTCTTAAGACGAGGAAGTAAGCGCTGTGTGCCTGCCTTCTGCAAGCCGAGACAGAACATATTTTTTCGCGGGTGGCTGCATTGATAATTCAGGTTGAGTTGGCCCTTTTCTTTTGCAACAAGCAGACCTTCGTGCGTTTTCCTGTGGGACTGAGACGCCCGTTGCAAGAGAAAGGTTCGTGGCGTGGAGACTAAATATGCCGCTCCCATCGCCTCTGTTGACCCAGCAGATCGGGTGTACCCTTACTCAGGGCTGTCTCCTCAAAAGGACGCCGGGACGAACGCCGACACTGAGACGTGCTAAGTTTTGGTGTTATCTGGTTGTTTTCTGGCTGTCTAGCCTTCAGACAGCAAGCTATAGACATACCTATATATGCTTGTCACACGGGCAACGGGCGTTTGGCTTCTCGATGTCTCTCTTTTACGATGGGTTGACGCCCGCACAATGCGGAGAGAGAGAGGTGCTCGTAGTCCACTGCGCGCCGAGCTGTCCAGCGCTTCGCATGCAGTCGTCGTCGGTGTGGCGAGTAGAAGGCAATAGACACCCCATCCGATTGCGTTGCAGGGTGTGTTGAATGCCACAGCAGTCCACTGGCCTACCGACGTTCATCAAGAAATGGCAGTACCTGGCCTCTGTGGCGACTGGTGCTGTTGCCAGGAGGCAACGGTAGAGTACATCCACAGTAGTGATGTCGGTCGAACACGGGTACTACGGTAATCCTTTCAGTACCCGCGGGTGCTGCATATTACGGTTCTAACACCGTTCACAGGATTTCGATGTCCACATTTCAGTTTGCAGGTAGGTGCGAACACCTGTTGCCAGGTTTAAGTAACGCTGGTGACTTGCAAAGTGTATCCAAAGCCGTTTTCCCTTGCCATCCCTCGCCAATGCACTTGACCGTTATACCTGCTGGGTTGTCTCCGTCCGTCCCTGTGTCTTCCTGCAAACGTCCTCGCCGAATTCACGTTGTTACCTGCCATCAATGCCGGCTCAGGATCGTGAAGGTCAGATCAAGATCCCCGGCGGAACAACCTCCCGCCGCCGTCGCCGCCGCCGCCGTCGCCGCCAACCCGTTCGCGAGTCTCGGGTCTGCCTCCTCCGCCGGTGCCGCTGCTGCGAACCCTTTCCAAAACGTGGTTCTCACAACCAAGCCTGCCGACGCGGTGCCATCAGCGGAGACGGCAACGCCATCAGCCACGCCGCCGCCGCCGGCGTCGGCGACCAACGGCGGAAGCGGCAGCGCCTCGGCGGCGGCGGCGGAGGCGGCAGACGGAGGTGGCGCTAGCTCTTCCGCCACCCCGGCTAGCGCGGAGACGCCTCCATCTCCGAAACTCGCAGCAGCAGAAGCAGCAGCAGCAGCGACAGAGGACCCGCAGTCTACGGCGGAAGCGAGTGCGGGAGGTGATGCTGCCTCCAAGGACGAGGACACAGCGGAAGCCAAGACGGAGAGAAAAGAACCCGAAAACGGGACCAAGAAGGAAGGAGAAGGGGACGGGGACAAGCCATCCCCTGGGGCGGCCGTAGACGGCGCGAAGGCGGGAGAGGGGGCGGCGAAGGAGGAGAAGCCGCCGGCGGCGGGGGTGGTCTCGTTTGCGACTCTCGGCGGAGGCGGCACGGCAACGCCATTCAAGGTGAGGCAGAGGGCGTTCGGCGAGGCTTGGTAGGGACGAGGTCGGCGAACGAACAAGAGCTGGCAGTTGCACGGCCGTTCGTGTTGTGCAGTTAAACCTCGGTAAAGGCCAACTATTATGGAAAATTTTCCTGTTTGGAATCTAATTTTATGCCTTGTACATCCAAACCCACATGAGGCCGCAGGAGTTTTGCGTACTTCGTTGGAAGAGCACACAAAGCGCTTCGGCACTCAGTACTCGCCTCACAGAGACCCGTTGGCATGCAAACCTTCGAGGCCGCGCAGTGCGTTGCTGTGAGCCTCTTCGAGCCAAGGCTCGGGAGCTGGGGTGCAAGTGTGCGTTCATCATGCTGTGTAATACAGGAATTCCAATTTGGAATTGCTGGACGATGCTGGTTGGAATTCCTCATGAATTTCCAGCAAGCAAATTGAGATGGTGAATTTGCACTCATATCAAAGTCAAACTCTACGCACACTGCTCCCTAGCTCCAAACTTGGCTCCGAGATTCCCACAGTAGTGGAGTGTACAGCCTATCGGTTAGATGACAAACAGGGCTCTGGGAGGCGAGGACGAACTGACAAAGTGCTTCGGTGCTACCTGCTTGCTATACAGAACGCAGAACTCCTGCTTTTTTGGGGGGGGGGGGGGGGGGGGGGG